CAAACCAAGCATCCCATCTTCCCTTTGATCTATCCAGACAAAGCAAACAACGCGGGGTAATCATTGGTAGTAACAAATATTATTGCTCTACATATGAAGTCCTCCTTTCAGAATGCATCGTACATCGGCTCCCCATGCCTCCATAGCCTCTCCATTTCTTGCATCAAAGGCTCGAGGAACACGTCTATATCAATGCCTGATTGTTTAGGGCTAGAAATAAGAATAGTGAGGAGAATGTACTTTATCTTCTGACACAACCACATTGGAATGTTGTACATGGTCAAGATCACTGGCCAAGTGTTGTGGTCGCTCATCCTCTCATTGAAGGGATTCATTCCATCGGTGCTCAAGCCAAACCGTATATTCCTTGGGTCATCGCTAAATTCTTTATACTTCTCATTGATCCTTTGCCACTGACTACAATCAGCCGGGTGTGCAATCTTATCATCATCCACCTTGCGCTCATCATCCCACCATGTCATGAGTGTGGCTTCTTTAGGGTTTAGGAAGATACGTCTCAAGCGGTCGGTCACTGACATGTACCACATTACCAAGGTAGGAATTCTTCTCTACTTTGCATCGTTGCCTAATGGAGTGACCTCTAGGGGCTGAGATTCTTGTACCACCTTTTTTGTACCCTTCTTATTTCTCTTTTTCCCCGTGGAGGCTTTGTCCCCACCGTAAAGGTCATTGTTCTTGTACTGGCTAGCCCCACACCAGGGACATTTATCCAGTGACTTGAACGTTTCGCCACGAAAAAGGATACAGTGGTTGGGACATGCATGGATTTTTTAACCCCATTGTCAATGGACTTATGACCTTCTTGGCTTGGTATGTACTGGCGGGAACTGAGTTTGGTTGTGGCAGCACCCATGATAGGAGACGCAATAGATCATTAAAACAACAGTCTGACTAGCCGTACTTAGCCTTCAGGATGAGTAGCTCAAGCACAAAACGTAGCAATGTCCAATGTGTCGGACAACCCTTTTCAACACTATACATAGTTTCCTTCGATGTTTTTGTCACCCTTTCTAAATTTTCTAGACTTTTTGGGCTCTTTAGTAAAATCTCTGGTCCAAGGGCTCGAATCATGTCCTCCAAATCATCTTCATCCCCGACACGTGCTCCACCATCATTATTGGCACCACCTTCGGCGTTACCATCCCAACCACCAGCATCACCACCTTGTTCATTGCCAAACTCGGGATCCATTCATGCATCAAGCTTTGCTGAATATTAGGATAGGGATTCTAGGGTTTTGTCGTCGTATTCCTCCTCATCCTCATCGTTAACAATAACCGTTTCACCATAATGAATCCATACTGTGTAGTCCTCAACAAATTCTCCAATAATCAAATGTGATCTGATGATAGTCACATCTGTCCATTCCATACGGTTCTTGCAATCTTTACAGGGACAAATAATTATATCCTTATTCTCAGTCAACGTTGTTGCATGCATCTCTGTGGTTTCAATAAATTTGTCCACCTCTTCATAGAAACCTGCCTTGAACCTTAACGAACCATACATCCAAGAGTTCCTGTACTCCATCTTTTACAACAACAAAAAAACCTTAAAGGACTACTTATTCAGATATATATAAAAATGGATCAAATTAATAATTACTTGAGAATAATTATATATACTTCAGATATATATAAATATAAATCAAATATAATTACATGAAGCATACAAATACACCATGGTAGAGGAAAATTAATTAATAGCCCATTTATCCATAAATAATTAAAATACATATTTGTTGATTACAATAAATAATTTCAAAAACAACAATTAGCAACAATTATATTTTACCCAATATCTTTCATGCAAACCCTAGTCCAATTTCATCAAACATAAATTTATAAAAACAAAATTAATAAAAAAACAAAACCCTAGATCTAGATCTACATGCACATGAAACATCCATAAAACTAACTAATTGTTCACTAAAATCAAGAAACATGGATCAAATAAGGTTATGATCTTGTTCCCCTACCTAATTTACCCTAGTACATTCAAAACTTGGGTCTAATTTGCTTCATAAGTAGCTCAAGCACCAATGAAGAGAGAGAAAAACAAAACTTTAATTACTCACTAACCAACCGTTAAAACTTTTAAAAAAAGTGTGGAATAGCATTTTTTTACTTTCTACAACCTCTCCACCAAATGATTTGACACCAAAACCTTCCCCTCTTAGTAGAGCAATTTTTGGGAGGTGTCCAAGGCCTCCCAACCTTTCTTGCACGGATTGGAGTGAGTGACCTGAGAAGGAAGAATGGGCTACAGTTTTTATACGTAGGTCATTTGTAGGGACGGATGGTGATTGAGCCGTCCCTATAAATCGCAGGTATTTATACGTGGGGCATTTGTAGGGGCGGCTCAATCACCAACCGCCCCTACAAATAGAAACACCGGCGGCGGCTGGTGAGTGAGCCGCCCCTATAAATCCGACCCATTTGTAGGAGCGGCTCGTATCACCAGCCGCCCCTACTGTTCCATTTGTAGGGGCGGCTCGTCTCCTGGGTCCCGAGCACGTCACTATAGGGGCGGCTCCATCACCAGCCGCCCCTACAAAAAAATTACCCCGTTGCTACAAACGTTTTTTTTAAGTAGTGCTTCTAATAACTAACTTGGACACTAAGCCGACAGTGTCGTGCAGGATCCTGAGCATAGCCGGCCTTGTTCCCAGTTGGGGTACGTTTACGAGTTTGTTCCATTTTCGTTGGTTCTCCAAATCAGACTCTACCACTGTATAAATCCAATCTAAGTCCAAATAATCAAACCAAAGGAAAAAACATTTCACGAAACAATCAAATTTATCACCGAATCGATCGATCCAAGGGAATCAAGAAAAAACAGACAAACAAAAATCATGAAGCCGACGAGAAGTGCACACGCCCGCTGTGTTGTTCGTCTAAACGGTCGTTTAGCCCATTCAGAAACCGTGTAAATGCTACACAGTAGTGCACTGTTTCTGTTTTAATAATCCATTTACCCCGTTTAATTAATTGTTTAGCCCGTTTAATGGATCATTTAGTCTATATAATAAATAAACGGTAGGTGACTGACTCTTTACAATTTAGCGTTTAGGAAAACAATTGCTGCGCCGTTCCTGGTTAGGCACGGCTGTGCTCTAAGGTTTTCTCCAACAACAACACACAAAATACAAGACTCATTCGTCCTTTGGGTAGCGCTATAGGCAAAAGGTTCAATATCTATTCGGCATCTTCTCCAACAACAAGACCCAAAAGAGAATTCTTTCTGCAAATGGGTTTCCAGGAGAGAGAATGCCTATATTTGGGTTGTGCCTCTTAAGCAACCAAAAATAGGTCTCTCGTATAGATACTTTGTTGGAGGCTGATTTTTGATCTCTTGCTACCCATTTTAGGTTTGGGTGCCCATATGGGTTTCTTGGTGGAGACAGTCTAACCATAGCCACGGGCCCGCTATGGGTGGCCGTGCCCTCAGGTCCTAGCTGTGCGTCGACCTTGGTCATGCTCGGTGTCTGCACTAGCTTGTCGTCGCCGTCCACACTACGCCTTTTTGTGCCGCCACATGGCCCATGAGGTGACGCCGACACTCGTCGAGCTGTACACGAGGAACACGTATCGAATTAGTTGACCCAGATCGATCACACGTAGAGACTACCGGAAATAGTGACTTTGCCGTGTGCCACAGGCACTCGCAGTGACAAAAAACACTCGACAAAGGTTTTGTCGAGCGTAACACTCGGCAAACAGCATACGACATCTACAGTGTGGGCAAACGTCTCTTTGTCGAGTGTTTTCTATCGGGCACTCGGCAAATACTTTGTCGAGAGCTGAAACCGACGCTCGGTGAAAAAAGTAACGCGACGGCGCGGAGATGGTCACGACGCGTTTGCCGAGTGTCTCGGATCTGACACTCGACAAATCTGAATTCTTTGCCGAGTGTCCAATATCTAACACTCGGCAAACATGTCTTCTTTGCCGAGTGTTAAATCCCGGGCACTCGGCAAACCTGCCATCTTTGTCGAGTGTTAAATCACAGGCACTCGGCAAACCTGCCATCTTTGCCGAGTGTCAAATCCTGGACACTCGGCAAAGACTGGCCCAGAACGTACAAATGTTGGCTTCTTTGCTAAGTGTCACAGCGCAGACACTCAGCAAAGAAGCCATTTTAGTCCCAGAATGCACATATTTTGGTCACGTGTCCTCTTTGCCGAGTGTTTTTACCCTGGCACTCGGCAAAATGCCTCTTTGCCGAGTGTAACACTCGGCAAAGTGACCATGGCCCTGTTCGCTTCTTTTATAATCCATCATTTTCAGCTTGTTTTTTTAGCCGGAACAGTGTTTTTCTCTCACAACAAATCAGCCGGAACAGTGTTTCGGCTTGTTTTTTTAACGAAGCGAACGAGAACCATATATTCCCTGTTCTTATTGTTCGGTCACGTATAACGTACTCCACTCAAATAACCATTACAGACATCACATATAGTTCACAATAAGCATCACAAGCAGTTTATATAGATATATCGACAACAAATAAATGCAAATAAACTTTAAAATCATTAGTAGGTTCATTTACAACCACAAATAGTCACAAGTAGTCACAGATAATCAAAAATGCAAATGCAAATAAAATCACAAGTAGTCACTTGACAAAGAGCTTGTTTGCTGAGTGCCCAATAGAATACACTCCGCAAACAAGTTTGCAGTCGGCAAATCTGTGGTTTCCTGTAGTGAGAGCCTCATCGAGATCTCTTGCCTACTATATATATAGTTTAATTTGCCAATACGCACGGGCAGTTCCGCACCTGAGGCTAACTAACTTGTGCTGTCGGAAATCGGACTCCCAAACCGTCTGAACTAAGTTCGAGTCGCACTCGATTCTTGATACCGATACCCCTACTTTTATACGGGCCTATAATTACGAACAACGCGCGCACCGCCGCAACGACACCGCAGGCAGGCGCAGTAACCTCCCTTCCCATCCGATCACGCAACGCTGCTGCGGTCATGGGCTCGTCAAGCGCGAAACGCTTCTCCCTGCGCAGCATCGGATCCGCGGCGGCGCTCATCTTCCTCGTGCTGCTGTTGGTCGTCGCCGGCGGCGTCGCCACACTTCATCACAGGGACAACACGCCGGAACGGGGCGTCGTCGTCCGTGTAAACGATCGCCTCCTTCCGCGCAAAATACTTCGACTCGAGGTCATCGAAGAAGCCAGCAGCAGCATCGACTTCGCGAACCAACAACACAGGCCGCCGCCGCTGCTTCCAAGGGGACTCGTCCGTGAAACCAGCAACCTGGAGATGGAACCGTCACTGGCCGGCGACCCCGAGCGGATGCATGCAGCAGCGCCAACAAAGCCGAAGAGCCTCCTGGCGGTGCCCGTAGGGATCAAGAACAAGGCGGTCGTGGACAAGCTGGTGTCCAAGTTCCTGGCCGCCGACTTCACTGTGATGCTGTTCCACTACGACGGCGAGGTGGAGCAGTGGGGCGACCTGGAGTGGTCGGACCGGGCCGTGCACGTGGCGGCGCGGGGGCAGACCAAGTGGTGGTTCGCCAAGCGGTTCCTGCACCCGGACGTGGTGGCGGAGTACGACTACGTCTTCGTGTGGGACGAGGACATCGAGGTCGACGCCTTCGACCCCGTCAGGTACCTCGACGTCGTGCGGAGGGAGGGCCTCGAGGTGTCGCAGCCGGCGCTCGACCGCCGCTCAGAGATCCACCACGCCATCACGGCGCGCCCGCTGTTGCCGACGGCAGACGGCGTGCACCGGCGCGTGCGAGGGAACGCCCGCTGCGACGGCGACAGCACCGGCCCGCCGTGCGTGGGGTGGGTGGAGGTGATGGTGCCCGTGTTCTCGCGCGCGGCGTGGCGGTGCGCGTGGGGGATGGTGCAGAACGACCTCATCCACGGCTGGGGGCTCGACTACAGGCTCGGATACTGCGCGCAGGGCGACCGCGCTATCAATGTTGGCGTCGTCGACAGCGAGTACGTGCTCCACCGCGGTGTCCCCATGCTTAGCGACGGCGGCACCGCGACGCCGTCGGCGGGGCGCGCGGCGGTGAGGTTACGATCGTTCAAGGAGATGCAGGTATTCAACAGGAGATGGGGGGTGGCTGCTGCGGAGGACGATTCCTGGACTGATCCTTACACAGCAGCAGAGCCTCGGACGGCAAAGTGAAGTCGTGAAGATGACCGGGGTGGGCGGGCTTCACCAGCAATCTATGTTGGAGCTACAAGCATGTGTTGATGATAGATGCATCTCGGGCTTCACCAGCAATCTATGCCACTGCTTTTGTCTGTAGAGCCTAGACTCAGTATGTTGTAATTACGCCGAATTGGCTTTGTATGTTGGGCAACACTAATCTGTAAATGTTTCGATCTTCTTTCTTTTTATCGCTGCCATATATTCTAACAAAAAAATTTCAACGCACAGTAGATGAAATTATCATATTATTGCATGATCACAGGGTATACTTCGTTCTTTATGGTACTCAATCCATCTCAATGGTAAGACGTTTGACTTTTTTGACATCAAGTTTGACCACTCGTCTTATTTAAAAATTTATGTAAAATATCACTTCTTTCGTCGTGGTTTGGTTTATTAATAAAAATTCTTTAAAAATGACTTAAATTTGACTATATTTGCACAAATTTTTTGAATAAGACGAGTGGTCAAACTTGAGGCAAAAAAAGTCAAACGTCTTACGATTTTGGATGGAGGGAGTATCACACAAGGACATTATTCAGCGCTGGTTGTTTGTTTCAGTATATAACATTGTTGGCAGATATTGAGATATGATATACAAAGTAATACCAATCTTGACAAATGTATAGAAGAGATGTGGAAAGATTAGTTATAAATTCATTGCTAATTGCATTGACCCTGAGAGGGTACATACATGTATACATTGCCAGAAACCGGAGATTTCGTGAGGGGGACAGTTTTTCGTGACAGTGGAAAACACACTCTCATAAAAATAATCGGGTGATGTAAATCCCACCACGAAAACTTATTTTCATGAGAGTGCTTCACACAGCGCCATGAAATCGACTATTCTCGTGAGAGTAGTTAATACCCCCTCATGAAAATGTCCCCCGCCACGAAATTGGGTTGCTCATAATTGTGAATTGATCTTGAAAATCAAGAACACGAACAAATAAAGTGTTTCTCTTTTTAATCTACGGTGAAATTTTGTAACTAGTCTTTCTCCCTCATGTTAACTCCAAATACGATGATTCCTTTTCTAAAAGTTTCTAAAATCATGCTCTATCATGGCATTCTTACTGTTTTTATTGTTTTTTTGTCATTTTATTTATCAAGCAAATAGAGAACGATTGTTGTGAAGCTACCTTAGGAAAAATACCTTTCATATTTCGAAACATTTTTAACAAGCAATAGCCTACGTATATGTTGCTGTGTAGGAGTTTCAAAAGATTTGGAACTCGTTTGAAATTTTCTATCATTTAAATGAATTTCTGCGTGCTTACCGAAAGTAATTCCAAATTGAACTGTGCGTACTGTTGACAGTTCATATATGTCTATAGGAGAAATTTAGTGTTTTACAGAACTATTAGTGTACTTCGCTCGGTGAGAACCGAGTGTGTCAAATTTATATTTTTCCAAAGGAAGGCGGGAGGCTATGTTAACGAGGTGGCTAGAAATGCTAAAGGGGAAGAGAGTCCTTAGCCTAAGTGGGTGAGTGGAAATGGTGGGATGTGAGAATGTATCGATGGAATGGATGGGTAAAGTGAATGGTAAACAAGCAAGCAAGCTAACTAGAGGTAAAATAGTTAAGTGGGAGAGCGAGCAACTATCTTAAGTAGCAAAGCTAACCTTTGCTTAGAAAGAGTGACTTTAGTACTTTGAGGCATACCTGCCCTAAACTCGCCCGAAGATTGATTAGGCACAAAATACCATGAGCCTTACGATTTAATAACTAGACCTATCATGGTGGAATACAGAGGATGGACAGGGCTGTCACCACCTGCCACCTACCACAATCTATCCGGAGGCCTATCCGTATCCAAGCACCGCGCTTAATCTATAAACTTACTACTTTGATCCGAGCTTCGATGAAGTGAGATCAAAGTACCCTAATCAGACGGTTGAACCGGTATTAATGAATACCTAACTAAACAAAAACTACCTAGGATACTAATGCCAAGATACAAACACCTAAGCTCACTAGTGATGAACAATAATGAACAAGTACTTGAACAAAGCAAAGCAATAACTCTAAATAAAGTAGTCAAAAGTAAAGTACTGAATAAAGTAAATGCTAAATGAAAGAATTACAAAGGATCTATACCAGACCCAGAATACTCTTTTGGACTCCGAAGAAGCTCCACTCTAGCTCTGTTTACACTACTAAGCTACCACTCTAGAGCTACTCTAAGCAAGAGAGCTTGAGGAAGCTTGGAATGCTTGAGAATGTATGGGGCACTTTTCCATCGAGCTTCACACCTCCTTTTATAGTCTGTAGAGGAGGTATGGGTACTTATAGGTAGCCAAGGGAGGTCGGTGGGCTTCCTTGGGCGTCGGGCGATGCCCCTAGGCGTCGGCTAATGCTAGGATCCACCGCCTCTCCATCCTACGACGTGGATTGGCTCCCAATGGTGGTTGCATGGCAGGTAAGTCGTTTGCTTCGGTCAGAAAGTCGGTGGAAGGTCGCGTCGGTTGGAGCTCCTCAAGTGTATGATGGTGGACCCAGGGATCCAAGGAAGCTCAACCTCCACCTTTGGATTAAACCGACATTGATCGACGGTTCGGAGGCCTCCTGGGGATGCCACTTGGCTTCTCCCACGGATTAGTGACGTGGCAGGCCAGGGAGGGCGTCGGGCGACGCCACAAGGCATCGACTGACGTGGCCATGTGGGCCCAAGCCCCCTGCCATGTCCATTTGCCTCCTATGCACTCTTTTGGCACATTTTTGTTAAAAATTCCTGCATACAAATAAATCTCCAAGTACAAGTGGAACTAGGTGAAATATAAAGAAATTCTAGCACATGTGATGATGATTTACCTCACTTTACTTTGCTTTTGGGTAAAATGTTGATGGCCAAAATGGGTGCTAGTGACCATCAACACGTACCTCCAATAGGAGTCAAAAAATTACAAAGAACATTTTTATGGTCATACATTTCACTCTATCCCATATCCTAGAATTGTTAGGGAAAAACATTTATTTGCTAGGGATAATTCATCCTTCTGTTTCTAAATTACCATAAAATAATTTTAATAATTCTAAATTTATAATTTTAATAATTCTAAATTTATAATTTTAATAATTCTAAATTTGTTCAGAAGATTCTATAATTTGCATAGTAACATTTTTTATTACATAATCTTTATATAAAAACCTCAAATGATTTTAACAAGGTGGCTTTGATAAATCTCTCACACGGTTATATGGCAACATATGAAAGATATATCCAATTGTGAACAATGTATACTACCACTTATCGGATGGAGAAATGATCAAAATAAAAGTTGCAGATCTCGATGAGTTATACAACTTTGTTGTTGACTTTTTTATTTGAAATCATTTACTATTACAAAATTATGTTTGAAGTTCTAATATTTTCAATTTCAAAATTTCGAATTATTCAAACAAAGCCAGATGAAGAAATGACAAAAAATAAAAGTTATAGACCTTGATGAGTTCTATAACTTTGTTGTTGACAACTTTTTTATTGGAAATCATTCACTGTCCCAAAATTCTATTTGAAATTCTTATATTTTGAAATTCAAATTATAAATTGTTAAAACAAAGTCGGATGGAGAATGGATGAAAACTAAAATTTTAGATCTCGGTGGGTTCTACAACTTTGTTGTTGATGACTTTTCCATTGGAAATCATTTAGTATTCCAAAATTCTAGAAGTTCATAAAATTTCTAGAAGGAAAAAAATAAAAATAAAAATAAAAATAAAAGTGCTTTGGTTTCTGTTTTTGACCTGTCACCTGTGCTCCTGCGTGCAGAGTGCTGCAGAGTCGCCCACCTGGGTTTGGGACTTGAGCAGAAAGGAAAATTTCAGATCTAGTTATTGGTAATATCAAAATTTATGAGTATTGAAATTGATTTAATGTTATTTGGTTCGTCTTTCCTTTGACATTACTTCACTGCTATAGTAATTGGTTAGAGTAGCACTTTCACAAAGTGATAGCAGATTTTGTTCAGTGAGCTAGAGAAGTTACTCTGATGGCAACACTATTATCTTAGAGGATACATAATGGAGTATTAAAGAATTGTTTCAGTCCTGTCAAGTCACAATCGAACAATGTATATATTTCTATGTAGAACCATAACTTATATTTGCTCTGTAGATTAACAAAAAATTTTACTGGAATCAAGTTTTAATATTTCCTTATGTCCTCTAGAGTATATATTTCTTCATTCAATGCAGGAGGACCAGTGTGCAACTCAATAATTCAGTGTAAGCAAGAACTAAGGTGATGGACTCCTGGTCTGAATTCAGTAGGTACAGAATGGTCTGAGAGGCAAAAACATGTAGCTTTCTTTCTTCTATAGATGTTAGTTCCATTTCCTCATGACTGCATACAAATAAACTTTGGTTAAGTGCAGATTTGGTTGTGCTTTCAGTGAGAATTTGTATATGTCAAGTGCAGATTTGGTAATGCCAACATTTCGAGTTGTTTTTTTTCAGAAATTTTCATACAAATAGCAGTCTTTCAGAATCTGCTTCGAGTTGTTTTGTCAGTATTTTCATACAAATATAAGTGTCGGTGCAGAAAGTGACCAACACGTAAATATTTGTAGTTTTGCCGTATGTTGTGATTGGATGTGGCCTAGCACTCAATGACACAGGATTTATACTGGTTCAAGCAACGTGCCCTACGTCCAGTTTGAGTCGGTCGGCGACTTTATTCCTGAGCCCAGGTGCTCGAAGTTTGCAGTGGGGTTACAAACGAGAAAGAGAAAGATGGGGGTACAAGAGGTCCGGTCGGACTCTGGTCAGAGAGACCGAAAGCGACAGGAGCCCCGCTATGAGCTAAGTGTTCAAACGTGTGCTTATGGTTTGAACCTGGTGGTTCTGTGGTTGTGTACTAGTGAACTCGATCGATCTAATGAATCTAGAATGACTTGAATCCACCTGCCTGTTGGAAGAGACCGCATCTCCTTTTATAGATGAAGGGGATGGCCTTACAAGTGAGAGG